TGACTCTCATTGTCATTTTCCTAAAATTTTACGTTAATAGCTTATAGTAGTAATACAGTATGTACCATTATATATATCAACCTCCCTTTCTCCCAATCTGCTGAAGAGGACCCCAGAAGGTGGGTCGATATATACAGATCAGTCAGTCTCCTGAGTTTGTGTCTCCATGTTGGTTATTACGGCAACACAGGTGATAAATATGAGCAGTAAACTAGAGGACATGGCGGAGGCAGCAAGACTCCACTAACAGTCTGAAGTTTAGCGCCCAGGAAGCCAGAACAAACAAAAAATAAGGCCGGCACTTGTAATTAACAGAAGAGGCCAGGAGCTGAGACTCTACCCCAGAAAATACAACTAGATAAGCACACACAAACTTCGCTATATCGTCTAGGGTTAACAAAACAAGTGAACCACCACATTACTGACATTGAAAATACATGATATGGTGTGTGTGTGTGTGTGTGTTATAATTGTTTGTGGAGGTCAGTGGCACTTTCTCCAGCCGTGACCCTTGTAGTGCCAATATGAGGGCCAGGGATAAGATTTTTTATTGTTACTATTGTTGTCATTGTCATTAATATGTGCCGGAATTAATGTCTCTTACTTTTTTCTTCCTGGTTGCTTTTGCCTTTCAGTCTTTGCCTTCTCTCTGTCTACACTTTTCTCATTAATTTTCTTTTTTCTTAACTTTCCGTCCATAAGTTTCCAGTCTCTCCTTGGAAACTCTTACAATATATCGAGTTTATAGTTGGCATTAACATATAGCAACATGCCTAGCATTTTCTTTACAATTGTGTAAATTTTCTAGTTTTTTATTAGTTTTCCAATGTTTAATAACTTATCTAGTCTAGTATATCGAGTCAAACATTTCTATTTAACTTTTATCTCACTGTCTTCCTGATAATGGTCCAGGATGGAACGAAATGTCGTCAAGATTCATTAGTTTGCGAATTAGTTGTTAATTGTTGCAATCAAAGCATTGCAGCTTCTGTTTAACTTCCTTGTCTTACTGTCCCTGTTTTTTGTCAAACGATTCCTGAATTCTCTCTCTCTCTCTTGGTGTAACTTAGTGTATCCCTGAAGTGACTGAGTTATGCATCACTGATGAAGGGATTCAGGGATACTGGTTAGCCAGGCTTGAGTCCTGAAGGTGGGAAGTGCAGTGCCTGCATTCTGAAGGAGGGATGGGGATGTTCCTGTTCAGAGGACCATATGAACTGTGTTGTCAGCACACTTCTGGCAAGACAGTAATGGAATGAATGAAGGTGAATCAAATCAAATCAAAAGTTTATTATTTATAAAGATTACAATGTGCGTTTCCTTTTCTTTTGGGTCAGTCTACTTCGGTGGGAGTAGGCCAGTGGGTTATCCCAGGCAATTTACACATGCGTTACTACACTCTGAAGACATGTATAAGCACGTGAAAGCGCTCAGGCTTTATTTCCTATTTTCACTGTGGAATTCTTGCATACTATTTGCAATCACACGATTGTGATTTCTTCCATATGTTATTACATACGACAATTGCAATCACCAATAACTTGTTTAATTGTACTTACGTGTAATTAATCCTAAATAAGCTTACTAATTTACTCACCCTCGTAAGAACTGTGACAAAATCTACAAATGAATTTCAGAACACTGGTATGTTGGCAGAACCGACAACCTTAACAATCCCTGCAAAATTCATCTTAATTTTCACAACCACTTAATAGGAATGGTGTACATTTATTTAGATACAGGTATACATAATTATAATTATCATACATAGTGTAAATTACCTAGGATAACTCCCCCCCAAAAAAAGGTCAGAGTGACTTAACTTCACTGGGACCCTAATTGCCAAGGAAGACGACGTCTGAAGAAGCAGCCTTGAACCTCCACTCACCACTGTCTCCAGCAACTTCAACCACAAGACCAATCTCTACTATGAATTGTTATTATGCGAGTAAATTACCTGCAGGAGGTTTACATGTTATTGCCTGGATTATTACCTACAAGTAATCTGGGTGAGGTAAGTGGTATTTAATCACAGTAGGTCGCCAGACTGTCACTCCCTTGATGCCCACTCCCTACCACTCCCATAAAAATAAACTAGGCCTGACATTAAATTAATAATTGCAATATTAGAACCAGCTACTCTGGTAAATTAAAGTTGTGGACTGTATATGATTAGGCTTTCTGGGTACACAAAAGAAATTCGTATTACCACTTACCATTTAATTACTGTACATGGATCGCACCAAAACACCTGCCTGAGACCTAGACCCCCACACTGGCCAGCTCGAGATCTAAATGCAAGAACTAATGGTACACTTCCCTGTGAGTGATGGTCATATCCCTTATCTTCCACCATCCACAAGTAATTGTTGAAGTCCCGCAAATTTCCTGTCCCAGTTCTTCAGCAGGGGACATTAACACGGGTTCCTAATTACAAATTCAAGCTGAAAAATCCCAATTTGGCCACGAAGACGCCAGATTATTAGTTGAATTTTCCACGACAACCAATGCCCACAATTTCCAAATGGCGTCTCCCCGTCTGCGCCACTCAGCAGCTGTTCTACACCCCCTTCACTCGAAATTTCTCGAAAGGGTCAAATCAGCATCATATTTTATTACACAATTATTGTTTTATTCAAATTTACACATGCTAAATTTAGGAAAATCCAAAATTTTCCACATCTACAATTAAGTTTAATTTCTTGCTAAGAATGCTTCTGTAACGCTTTGGGAATCAGTAAGACTTAATTCACACCGTACCTGTTATTCACTCAGCTTACTGCTACTCACTACACTAGTAGACATCTCCTCACTCTTCTTAGCCAGGCTTATTAGTTTGTAGATGAGTAAGACACATGTACAACAACTGGGTATCTACATTACTTAAACGTTTCGCCTACACTGAGTGTCTGTGGTTCAATCCCCGGCCGGGTGAAAACACTGGGCATGTTTCCTTACACCTGATGTCTCCGTTCACCTAGCAGTGAGTAGGTACCTGAGTGTTCACCTAGCAGTAAGTAGGTACCTGGGTGTTTCTAGCGGTAAATACCTGTAAAGTAAAAGGACACAAGCGCAACTAATGTGACTTATATTATGGCAGCGCTTCGCTCTCCAGGGTGTTCACCTAGCAAGCAAGTAGGTACCTGGATGTTAGTGGACTGGTGTGGGTGGCATGCTGGGGGATATGACTGAAGGACCAAAGTAGGTACCTGGGTGTTAGTGGATTGGTGTGGGTGGCATCCTGGGGGACATGACTGAAGGACCAAAGTAGGTACCTGGGTGTTAGTGGATTGGTGTGGGTGGCATCCTGGGGGACATGACTTAAGGACCAAAGTAGGTACCTGGGTGTTAGTGGACTGGTGTGGGTGGCATGTTGGGGGACATGACTGAAGGACCAAAGTAGGTACCTGGGTGTTAGTGGATTGGTGTGGGTGGCATCCTGGGGGACATGACTTAAGGACCAAAGTAGGTACCTGGGTGTTAGTGGACTGGTGTGGGTGGCATGCTGGGGGACATGACTGAAGGACCACAACGGAAATAGGACAGTCCTCGATGACGCGCTGACTTTCCTGGATTATCTTGGATGGCTAACCCTCTGGGGTTAAATATCCGAACAAAATTTTATCTATCTTACACGACAGGCTTCTTCGGTCAAATACAGAGGAGAATAAATATGGCGACAGCAGCAGCAGTGGTGAAGTAAAGCTGTAATCAATCCATCAACATTCAAGGTTGATGGATTGATCACATCATCTCTACCTCACCACTACTGCTGCTGCTGTCACCAAATTTATTGTCCTCTGCATTTGACTGAAGAAGCCTGTCGTGTAGGCGAAACGTTTCAACAATAAAGATACCCAACTGTTCTACATGTGCTGTAATTATCAACTTGATTGTATTGTACTCAAGAACCACAATGGAAATAAGTCACTGATTTTTTTTTTTTTTTTTGGGGGGGGGGATTATCCTTGGTAATTTATGCTCTATATATATACCTATGTGTACATACCTTAATAAACTTGCTTACACATGCTGAAGAGGATCCCAGAATGGGGTCGAAATATGCAGCTCAATCAACCTTCTGTGTTTCTGTCTCCATATAACCTGGTAGAGGTGCCCCGTGGCCTGGTAGGCAACGTTCTCGCTTCACACACTGAGTATCCGTGGTTTGATTGACGGCCGGGTGGAAACATTGGGTTTGTTTCCTTACACCTATTGTCCATGTTCACCTAGCAAGTAAGTAGGTACCTGGGCGTTAGCCAACTGGTGTGGGTCGCATCTGGGGGACAAGATTGAAGGACCACATGGAAATAAGATGCACAGTCCTTGATGACACACTGACTTTCTTGGGTTATCCAGGATGGCTAACCCTCCGGGTAAAAAAAATCCGAATAAAATCTTATCTTATCTTACCTAACAAATGTTCATTACATTCTATATATCCAATTAAACCATTAACCAACCAGCCATGCAGCCACGATGAAGGGGTAAAAGAAGTCACAGTGTTTCACTTACCTGGAGTATTTTAGGTTAAATGTATATAATATACTATAAATGTGTGCTCATAAGACATGTGTGCCCTAAAACTATTTTTAAACTATACTAGTAAATGATTATATTACCGAAATACAACTTAAATAGTTTATCCTCTCTGTCTGTCTCTCAAGTTTTCTCTGAAGCAGTGTTCAACCAGCAGTCTCGTACAGGTTATATAATAGTGACCAACATTACAACAAACTTCATATTTTAGGACATTTTTAAATATAGCTCCTTTTATTATTTTGAACATGTTTGAGAATTTATATAATGGAAACCAGGAGATGCTTTGACCAGTGACCAGGTCAAACCACACCCCTGACCTCACCAACAAATTATCTCTACTCACTCAAACTTTAACTAATAACCATAATTTCACACAAATTAATATCAACAAAATTGGTGTATTAAGGTTCTATTAATTAACATATAAGATATACAAGTAATAATAATATATTACGTGAGTAGGATATAACAAGGTTGTGTTGTGACCGGCGTGGGTCAGCTCTCTCACCATTATTATGCTTCAATAATAAATATATCAGGTATTTTCTTATCTTTTCTTTACCTACTAGTTCCTGGTTAGTTTAGTGTGTATTGGGGTAATAAAAGGGAGAGGTAGGCCGTCTGTGGCTTTATCTCTGCCAGTTTTATTATCAGGATTTTTTTTTTTTTTGAAAATGCGGAAATAAAGTTTATTGAGATACAATATTACACATTTTGAATGATTAAAAATTGTCTTTACGTGATACACAGCGACGTCTTAAATTACCCAGACACTCGGGAAGGAAAAAAAAAGTTGACTTATTCTATTGGTGATCTTTGAAATAAAAATTAACTGGAAGAGAAGTTAACCTTAAATTTTTTTTCCATTACATTTAAGTAAGTTTATTTAGATACAGGTATACATAAATACAGTTACGCAAATTACTATACATAGTAACATTGTGAATTACCCACCAGGATAACCCCAAAAAGTGGGACAAAGTGAGTTATATCCATTGTGGTTCATGTAGAACACAAGAATGAAGAAACACTGCAGTAGGCCTACTGGCCCATGCTAGACAGGTCAAACTTACATTTACTCATGTACCCGTCCAATTTAGATTTACAGCTTCACAAGGTTTTTTTTTTCTCTCCCCTCAAGGGAGGTTCCTTGACGCTGGTGAGGGGCTCTTGATCTAGGGAATTGGATCTGTGCTCCAGTTCCCTGAATTGACCTGGAATACCTTCCATCCCTCCCACATGCACTGTATAATCCTACTGGTTTAGCGCTTCCCTGTGATTATGATGATGGTTTTCCCACTCGTCAACAACTCTTTTTGCCCAACAGTTACTTCCCTGTATCTTAAATCTTTATTTCTCAAACTTGACAGCACTATATGACCCTTGTAGGTTTAGTGCTTAGTTTTGATTGCAATAACCTTTTGCCAACTTGAATCCATTGCTGCGAGTCTCAGTTGAACATTGTTAATGTGTTATTTGTATTCCCTTTATTTACTCCTTTTTTTTCCATTCAACACTTCATTCTCACCCATATTCTACGTTTTTCCAGAGATTGAAAGTTTGGTCCCTTCGGTCTATGTAAGAAATATTTTTGATACATTTGATCATCATTGCCATCAAGGATCCCAATGGAAATAAGTCACTTCAGCTGGCTTTTTTGGGTTATCCTGGTGGGTAATTTACAGATATGTTACTATGGATGATAAGTGTAATCACCTAAATTTGTGTAACTGTTCTTATGTGTGTCTCTACCTAAATAAGCTTAATTACTAATCCTCTGTATTTTTCCCAGCATATTAATGTCCATTGTGTAATATGGGGACCAGAACTGTGCAATGTAATCTAAATGAGACCTTACCAAATACATATAAGATTGAAAAATAACCTAAGGGCTTCTGTTATTTATACTTCTTGATATGAAGCCAAGAATTCTATTGGCTATATTGCAAACATACACACTATTGTCTTGGCTTTAGATTAATGCTAACTAGAACCCATAAATCTTTTTTCACATTCAATTTGAAATTTACATTATTTAGTTTATGCCCTGTGTTATAGTTCTTCGCTTTACAGCATTTTGCTAATGCAGCGGTTTTCAGTTACACCCATTCTTCATTTATTCAGATTTCATACAAGAAATAGTCACCACTCACTATAACCTGAGAATGAAAATGTTTTATGGTCGGTAATGTGTGTAACTGGATATGCATTTTTTAGGCCTAGCTCTATTGCTCACCTAATATATGATAGTGTAAACGTGTTATCAGGCTTATATATGCATTTGAAAGCGAAGAAAGGCTATGTTTCACTTTACAGCAGTTGCCTGTAACCTAACCTGCTGTATAAGTGGGGCCCCTCCTGTAGTTGCCATCAGGGACAGATCTACTATGAAACTAATGAAGCTTGAGCTTCAGGGCCCCTAATCCTGGAGGGGCCCAGAAGTGACTTTAGTTCACACTGCTTAAAAATCTTGAGCCTACTGTATGAGAAGGGGCTTTTAACCCATAAACGGTCCAAACGTATATATACGTTCTCTACCGTAATGCCCCAACTTTTTTTGAGAAAAAAAAATCTTTTTTTTAATAGGAAAAAAGAGTATATGGTACCCAGGCATCCCCAATTATTTTAATATGGCACACAGTGAGTGCACACACCCATTCTCTCATGTCTAGGCGACTCAGGCTTATCGTGGCAATGTTGAATGTATGACAAATAAAACGTATACGTATATACATTTGGGGCACTAGCGGTAAAAATGTATATATATGTTTGGACCGTTTACGGGTTAAAATAATAATAATATACTGTAATTCAGTATAAAATAATAGTTAAAATAAAAATTAAAAGGTTATTAACCCTTAAATGGTCCAAACGTATATATACGTTTTTTCAACATCTGAAAGTATATAAAAAAATGTAGATCTCCTTTTTTGTTTTACATTTGAAAATGTGTAAAAAAAACTTTTATCTACATTTTTTTTGTTATATTTGAAAATATGTAAAAAAAAGTAGATCTACTTTTGTAGCACTATGAATTTGAACGTCGATCTGTTTGGACCGTTTAAGGGTTAAAGTATAATGTAGGCTAGCCGTTGCTGGCTACAGAGGTGACCCCATAACAGTTCAAGCTTCAGGGATCCAAAAATGTAGGTCCACCACTAGTTGCCATAGTTATTTTTTTTTCCTCAGGAATCGAACCTTACATTTGTGTGCATTGTCTCCCACTTCTCTGACCACGGTGTCAACTTATCTAGATCTTTCTGTACTACTCTAGTGTCCTCAGCTGAATTTGTCCATATATTTTAGTATCATTGGCAAACTTGTTTATATTGCTATTTTTTAGTGCTGTTTATTGTTTATGTATATTGTGAACAAGGGGCCTAGTATTGATCCCTGAAAGTGGTTTTTGTTGAACTTATGGCCTGGTGTCTTTCTTCATGCTAAAAAGCTAGAGTGTTGGAATTGAGTGAATAACAAAAGAAACAAGTCTCATCAGCATTATGCAATTGAGATTGAAGGACCTTCTCATTGTCTATCAGATCATTTAACATTATTCTGAATGGCTTAACTTCATCCGAGGGTTCACTACCAGCCTTGCCTTACGTTTTTACATCAGCCAAGCAATGTCAATGTCAGAGGCGCCAAAGCCAACCATCAGAAAAGTGAGGATCAACCCTATGAACGTTAACACTAATAGAACATTATTGAATGTACCATTTATATACTGCTTCTTCAAGTTTATCTTGGGCTGTTTTCTAATGCTTTCTAGGACCAACTGTTGAACCTTTTTTGGTGAACATCTGCAGTAAACTTATGAGCATATGCTGTAAGTTTACCCTTTCTTTTACAAATATCACACTTTCTTAACACCATATTCCTCACACTCATGTGACACTGAAACACTATATTCAACCTTCCTTATAAGTTCAGGTTTCTTCTTAGCATTTCCTCTTCTTCCTCTTAGCACCACCATTTATTTCAGAAGCTGTTGTTAGTAGCACTATACTTAAACAATTAATTAGGTCACATAAAACATTCTAACTCCAGGGGAAATTGGAGACTGATTTACAAGTGTATGCAAGAGTGAGCACAGGCAATGAACTGATGTGGGCCAAAAATTGCCTCAGAGAATGATAAAAAGGAACAGGTCCTGGATGTGGATGCTATGACCTGTCCCAGATAAATGCTGGAAGCAGTGAACTTGGTTTGTTGGTAAATACAGTAGATATTATCTTTTTTCAGGTAGTGAAGCTACAAGGCAGCAATGTATAATTTGTGCAAGATAATTCACCCAGCCTTGGGGGTGGAGTTGTCCTTGTACTGTAATTTCTTCAACCATCGAGAGAAGTCTCTCGTTGTAGCAGGAGCCAACATCATCAGGGTGTTCCGATTAGTGGCTGAAGTACCACCAAAATCAAATAAAAAGGATGACCGAGGAGGGATCATAGGTAAGGTATAATTTGTTACCTTACTATTGGGATAGGGCCTTTGGGGTGTACCATAATGGTCAGTCTTTGCATTTAGTGGTTCTCTTAAGTCAATATAAAAGGTGATGCTGATAATTTGAATTGTGGACTTTCTTTTTCCATGGACAGTCATCTTTTTGTGATGGGACTGTTAGCTCAGTACATTTCATGGGTCACACTGGGTAGAGTTTCTCTTACCAGGAAAACTGGTGCTCTCTCTGAAGTCTGAACACTCCTACATCTTTCCTTTTCCTTTCTTCCTTGGCTCATCCTCCAATGCTTTTTTGTTTATTACCAGTACATTTTTGTTTATTACCCTACATACACTCCAAAGTGGTGTGCAGCCTTCCTCTGCTGCCTCTGCTACTTTGTAAGGCTGTTTCCCTCCAGAGAGGTTCCTTGATGCTATGAAGGGTTTTTGATCTAAGGAATTGGACCTGATTTCTCTTTCCTTGGATCGAACTTGAATGCCACTCATTCTGCCCCCCCTCAGGGTATGTATGACCCCTATGGGTTTAGTGCTCATAAAAGTTATAATAATAAAACTGCTAAATCTCTGAGTCTTTTTTTTCCTTGCTTAGTGATGCAAACAATTTCTACATTTAATACTTTGCTGATTTCTTTTCTTCATTTTGCAATTCTTCCTGCCTTCGTTTTCTAAATCTTCCATGTTATTCTAGCCTCTTGCAAAGACTTCCTTCCCTTATTTGACCTTGGGTTCTCTCTCACACAGGAAGTAATTTTGTATATGTCTTTTGTCTTTGTGGAACCAGGGGAACAGACATTAAATATTTTTTATCAAAATTATCTTAAACTTCAATGAAATCTGTATGTTTAGTATTTTTTCACATTTGTGGGATGTAATTGACCAAGCAAGTAATTCCATCATGGTAATTTCCAGTTATAATAAGAGAAAAATTTCAACCCCAAAAAATGCTGAGCTATAATCATTCGATTTTGGCAATTGAATAATTGACATATTTTACACATTTATCCCTTTCAGATAATTGTCCTCCAAAGGTGAAACTAGAATGCATGGCAACATACAAATTGCACGACAATGTAGCAACAATGGCATCAGTGTCACTTTCCCCTCTGCGAGATTCCTTACTTCTGGGGTTTCGGGATGCTAAGCTGTCCCTGGTAGAGTACGATCCATATAATCACTACCTGAGAACTGTATCACTTCATTATTTTGAGAAGGAGGATATCAGGGTAAGATTTTAAATGATTTTTGAAGTTGGCATGAATGTGTGAGACAAAATTAATGTCATATTATGTACTGAAAAAATTTAAGGAAGATAGAATAAAGATAGGAGATGGAGGATGTGAAATACATTAATCGTATCAGACTTTAGACCATTAATGTCACTGTGAGTCAGCATATTGTGCTAAATGCAACATATTAATAAAGATGGCTTTGTTTCAATAATTTATGCATGATTGTGTTTTTCATGATGTACATACTGTGTGTGTGTGTGTGTGTGTGTGTGTGTGTGTTACATGGCTTATTTTCCTGTACTCAGCATGAGTCTATAATATAAAATATATTTTTTTTAAATTCTGTCTCTTACCTGGTATATAAATGCTATTTCAGGGAGGATGGGTTCAAACTGTGGTTCTCCCATTGGTTCGAGTTGATCCGGAAGGCCGATGTGCAGCTATGTTAATATATGGTAGAAAAATTGTAATTTTACCATTTCGAAGAGACCTCACTACAGATGATGTTGAATATAGCACGTCACATGTAAGAGGTCCAGTTCTGCAGTCGTACATTATTGACCCAAAGGATTTTGAAACACCTAGTATCGATAACATTATAGACATGCAGTTCCTCCATGGATATTATGACCCAACTTTGATGCTGCTTTATGAACCTATCAAAACTTTTCCAGGGTAATGTGAAAGATGTTGAAGAGTCAAGTGTTGAATAACATTTCATGATATATACTGACAAAATGATTACTATAATACATAAATACACTAAGTTTCTGAATAAATTTGAAATTAAGGTGCTCCTCAACTTACGGTGGGGTTACGTTCTGATGAACCCATTGTAAGTTGAAAATATTGTAAGTTGAATGTGAATATATATATGATAAATAAATAAATAACTACTGTCACTGAATTAGTAAGTAAACAAATAATTGCTGTAACTAACTAAATACCAGCTTCAGTACCAACAAGCTGGTAAAGATCTTCATCCATTTCTGATTCTGTCTCCCAAGTAATAAAATCTTGATGACTGTTGAATATGTGTCACTATTGCACCATCGTAAAGTTAAAATATCGTAAGTCGAATCATTGTAAAGTGAGGAGCATCACTAGAAAATAAAAATTTCTAATGTAATTTTTTTCATCAGGAGAGTAGCTGTACGTCACGACACTTGCGCCTTAGCAGCCATCTCTCTCAATATACGGCAGCGCCTTCATCCTGTAATTTGGTCGTTGTCATGTCTTCCACATGACTGTCAAAAGCTTTTACCTGTGCCAAAGCCCATTGGTGGTGTATTGCTTTTTGCTGCAAATTCTCTCACGTATCTCACTCAGTCAGTTCCTCCCTATGGAGTATCACTCAATTCTATGGGAGATAAGAACACAAACTTCCCATTAAGTATGTACTAACTATTTTGAAATTGTTAAACATTTGACCTATTAATTAAAATAAATTAGTGTATATGTATAATAAAAGAATAATGGCATATATATATATTTTTGGTTGGTGATAGCTTAGAAGAATACCAGTAATAGAACAATTCACAACTAATTCGTAATATAGAGAGGACTCTTTGGATGACTCTTCAGCCTGTTCTGAACCATCCTGTATCTCCAAATTTTGGATTAATTGTGAGGTGATTGTTTTATTCTAAATACACATGGATTATAATTACAGTATTTTAATTTGTTCACAGGGAAGCAAGAAGGTGTGGTGATCTCATTAGATTGTGCATATGGAGAATTCCTCACAGAAGATAGGGTTGTCATCTCTCTGAGAGGAGGGGAGTTGTATGTCCTCACCTTAGTGGCTGATTCCATGCGATCTGTTCGCAGTTTCCACTTTGACAAAGCTGCAGCATCAGTGTTAACATGTAGTGTGTGTATTCATAATTTTCTTTGTAATTTTTTTTATAAATTGGCATGGATATGAAGAGTGGCAGTGTTACAGATATACTGTTATGAAGAGAATACCCAATGATCATTAGCAATAGTACACCAGACATGACAATCTTAGAAGTACAGTAGAACCCCTGTATCCACTGATTTGGTATCCGTGATTTCAGTTATCCACAGTTTACTTTGACCCAAAAATACCTCTTAATTTTGCATATAATGGCCCCAAAGCAAAAAAGTAGAGAAGCTGGCAGTTCTTCAAAACCTAAGAGAAGCTGTGAAGTGCTCTCCATCAGTGAAAAAGTGATAATTCTCCACTTATTGTGCATAATTTATCAATTAAACTTTATAATAGGTATGTACAGTGGACCCCCGCATAACGATTACCTCCGAATGTGACCAATTATGTAAGTGTATTTATGTAAGTGCGTTTGTACGTGTATGTTTGGGGGTCTGAAATGGACTAATCTACTTCACAATATTTCTTATGGGAACAAATTCAGTCAGTACTGGCACCTGAACATACTTCTGGAGTGAAGAAATATCGTTAACCGGGGGTCCACTGTATTGGATTTATATACTATAGGGTTTGCTACTATCCACAGTTTTGGTAACCATGGCAGGTCCTTGAACTTAGCCCCCGCAGATACGGGGGTCCTGCTGTACAGCACTGTCAAGTGTGTCTTCATGCAGGTTTATTTTTTATTATTTTTTATTATTTTTTATTAACGCATCGGCCGGTTCCCACCAAGACAGGGTGGCCCGAAAAAGAAAAACTTTCATCATCATTCACTCCATCACTGTCTTGCCAGAGGGGTGCTTTACACTACAGTTATAAAACTGCAACATTAACACCCCTCCTTCAGAGTGCAGACACTGTACTTCCCATCTGCAGGACTTTAGTCCGACCTGCCGGTTTCCCTGAATCCCTTCATAAATGTTACTTTGCTCACACTCCAACAGCACGTCAAGTATTTAACACCATTTGTCTCCATTCACTCCTATCAAATACGTTCACGCATGCTTGCTGGAAGTCCAAGCCCTTGCACACAAAACCTCCTTTACCCCCTCCCTCCAACCCTTCATGCAGGTTTATATGGTAGATTATTCCTCTCGAGGGAGGTTCCTTGATGCCATTACAGAGCTCTTGCTCTGAGGAATTGGGCTTGTGGTTCCCTTCCTTGGATTGAACCTGAATGCCTCCCTTTCCCCAGGGGCACCATATGACTGAGATGTGTTTAGTGCTTTCTCTGTTGTTTGGCTTTCATTGGATCCAGTGATCTGTTGTTTGACTTTCAACATTATCCAGCAGTTTTGTTCAATGTGGCCCCTAAGCAAATAATGCTGAAAAGGAAATGTGCAACACAAAGTGATCATAAAAAAAATGCAAATCATCCAATGTTGAAAATACATTACACCCTTAATCTCCCCAAAGGGGCATGGATAAGCCAATCAATGATCTGCTGTATATCTTATATACAACCAGGTTGTGATCAGAAACAGCCACCAGACGAGCCTGGCCCATGGCCGAGCTCTGGGAGTAGAAAAACACTCAGAACTCATCAAAGGTATATATCAAAGGTGAAGTGATATTTCATTCTCAACTTACAGTAGATCAGGTTCATCAACTTTATAATATTTCTTGCATGTACTTAATTTGTGGTTGGAGTTACCTTTCTATCTAGTATAATGTGTTGGAATGCATATATATTTTTAATTAGTTTATTGTGCTTTAATTAGAAAATCAGAATGACTTTCAGATGTGTATGTGCGAAGACCAGTACCTCTTTTTGGGGTCTCGTCTAGGAAATTCTCTCCTCCTTCGTTACACTGAGAAAGAGCTAAGTGACCCCATGAGATCCAAAAGCAATGTCCCAGCTGATCAAGAACCTCCAACAAAGCGAAAGAAGCTTGATACATTAGGTAGGTATATTCTACTGCTCGATTTGTATTTCATTTTGATTTTAATTACAGTATGTTATCTTAGTGGTGTACTGTACATAATTATTTATTTCTTTCAATGCACTGGCCATATCCCACCGAGGCGGGGTGGCGCAAAAAGAAAAACGAAAGTTACGATGCATATAGGGTAATAAATTAATGTTAGATATTTTTCCGTATTTTTTTATTTTTTCACATTATTTATTCATTACGTATTTCTTTTGCCATCTCTGTGTACTCTTACATAAGAAAATCACAAACCTTCCCTTGTGTTCATAAGAACAGATTTAATTTTAAATTTAATTTTAAATTTCTTTATAAATTTGTGACCTGTACTGCTATAATTTCATGAAATTGATAAACCTAGGTTGTCGTTTCAATTTTGGGCACTTCTCAATCATGCCTTTATCCTGTAACATGAATATCTGAAAGCTACTCATCTTTGTATTTTTAGGCAATGTTTACAGTTTAGCTTGTTTTATTTGCAGGTGATTGGATTGCCAGTAATGTTGAGGACATCAGAGACGATGATGCCCTAGAGGTATATGGGCATGAAGATACCTCGACTGTTCAGTTGGCTTCATACAACTTTGAGGTAAAAAAAAAATCTCTTTGTGAAGGTTTTGCAATATACTGTGAAAGTAGCTGTCTTTTGGGGTTTTAACATGTTATTGGAGAGTGATAGGATTTAGGGAAAATGCTTAGTGAGACTTTGGTTCTGTAGGTGGGAAATTTGTAGTTCTGGCAAGACAGTTGTTGGATGAATGATGGTGAATGAATTTTCTCTTTTTTTTTTAGGACACATGTTGAATGAAACAGTTAATTAAGTTTTTTGGGGACAGCTATTTAATATATGATGGTGAATGAATTTTCTTTTTTGATTTTTAGGTTAATCTTTCTTTTTTGAAAGCTATTATGGGAAAAATTGCAAGTTGAAAATAGATATGATAAAGGTATGAGCAACTGCAGTGTGAGTAATATAATGAGAGGAAGGTAGTCAATATTTTCAGCATGCATCCCTCTAATGCAAGAAAATTTTGTTGGGAAGAAGCTTGTGGTAGAGTTACTAGTAATGAAGTGAGAAACATTAATACCTTCTCCAATGCAGATAAACAACTTCGATTTTTTTGACTGTCTAAACTTGGAAATACTTCAGTTGTATATTAAATTGCTTGATTAAGGAAGTTCAGTACAGTGGAACCTCGACTTACGAGTGCCCCAACATACGAGATTTTCAAGTTACGAGCCATTGCTCGGTCAGTTTTTCTGCTCTGTGTTATGAGTCAAAATCTGAGTTACGAGTGAGCTTCAGAACGCCGCCACTAGTTGGTGCAGTGAACACCACAACATTCGCTCAGCAGTGCACGTGTTTACCTCACCGTGGAAGCATTTCTCTTGTGTTATGCTTTCGTTTTGTGCAGTTATTTTGCCTAAGAAAGTAAGTGCAAAGGACAGTGCCGAGAAGAAAAACAGGATGATGTCCATTGAATTAAAGAATGAAATCATAGTTAAACACGAGTGAGGTGTGTGGGTTGTGGACTTGGCTAGGCTGTACCAGCGTAGTACTTCTACGATATGTACGATACTAAAGCAGGAGTCGATATAGGCTATAGTTCCAGCTAAGCGATAAAGTGTAGCATTAAGAGTGTAGCAAGTAGCCTATCTCTTCCACCCTCCACCTCCACCTCTGCCAGCATCTGTTCTTCAAGGTAAATATGTACACTTTATAAAACCAGTTTATTTATTTACATTCTCTATTATGTTTCCTTATGAAACTAGTGATCTAGTGCAGTTAGCCTCACAAACACTCCATTTTCAGAAGGGGAAGATATGGTTAGAGCGGGAGCGGGAGTGGCCACCACCACTTGTCACATAATGACATATTTTATTCATTCTAGAGTACTATATTTCATGTTTCTATGTTAATAATATTGTTTATTATGTCATATTAGATCAATTTTGATAGGTAAATAAGCCGTAGAGTTGATATTAGCGTTATATTGAAGTATTTTTCCTCCTGCCTCCTGAGAGCAGGAATTCTGCTGGAATGGATTAATGGCATTTCACTTAATTTCAATGAGGAAAATTGATTTGACGTATGAGCAAATTGAGTTACGAGCTAGGTCACGGAACGGATTAAACTCATAAGTCAAGGTACCACTGTATTTAAATATAAATACAGTTTAAATAGAGGAGAGTATGGCAGACAACTGAATGAATAGGAAATAAATTGAAGTGTCACATTTGTAAGTTATTAACTTGAAGTATTTGTAATGAGTTAAACAAGAAAGACAAACTATGTTTCTTAAGTTTTTTAAAGTTTATTTTACAAAAATATAATTTATATTGTTTGATGTGAGTGACCCATTTCCCAGGTGCTATATTCCCAACAGGTTTAGTGATTTCTCCATCACTGACAGCAAACTTATTTCACATATATGAATTATTTATTTGTTTTATACTGTACGTGCATTCCAGCATATGCTGGCTGTACCAAGTTCAGTCAGTTCATAAAGCGCTTAATTCTGCATAATAAGAATCTTTAGCGTTCTTTGTATTATTGTACCAATCGCATACAGCCAATGTGCATCACATATAAGGAATTACTGGTAATGATTGGATGATGTATAATAGCAAATTTGCATGAATTGAGGGGAACCTGGTTGTTGTAATGCTAATGTTAAGATGATCTGGTAAAGCTTATTGGTTTTACAGCCTCTTCCCCAGTTTTGTCTAGCTGATCATACCAGTGATTGTCAGCCCTTTTGGTCTACTATATGTAAAATGTTAAGGCATAGGCTGTTGTATTAGAACTAACTGACTGAATGCGACAATTTGCTATATATTCCATCCTTCTGTTGATTTCTTTAGCTGCAAACAATGGCAGAACTTTTTTTTTTTTTCAGGTGATGGATAGTTTATTGAATATTGGTCCCTGTGGTGATGTAGCAATGGGAGAGCCAGCTTTTCTAAGTGAGGAATATGAGAACTCTGTGGATCCTTGTGTGGAGTTAGTTACCACATCTGGCCATGGCAAAAATGGAGCCTTATCTATCCTTCAAAGATCTATCAAACCACAGGTAAACAGAAAAAAAATGTTAATTTGATCTCAGACTTAGGAGGGTTGTCTCTGCACATTTTGAAGAGTTTCAAGAGTTTAACTACTCTCGGAGCCCAGCCATGGGCCAAGCTTGTCTGGTGCTTGCCTGGACAACCAGGCTGTTGCTGCTGGAGACCCACTGCCCCACATATCTGGCACCTGGTGAAGATACTTGTCCAGTTTCCTCTTGAAGGCTTCTACACTTGTTCCAGCCGTGTTTTTAATATCTTCTGGTAAGATGTTGAATAGTCTGGAACCCCAGATGTTGATACAGTGTTCCCTTATTATGTGTACTATAATTTTGTGCTTGTGGAGTGAATACAGTTTTAGCTACAACTTATTATTGACTTGTACAGAATAAAAGTTATAAGAGATATGGGAGGAAATGTAAAATATGCCCAGTGAAATTCAGGGGTGCCATGGGCACAGTGTGAGAACACTACATCAACATCTGAAGGCCTAAACTATTCAACATATTCCCAGAACATATCAGAAATGCTGCTGGAATAATGTGAAGTTGTCAAGAGGAGACTCAATAACTGTGTTTGAAATTTACTGAAATATTACGATTTATAGAGAATGATTTACAGATGCTTTATTTACTTAAATTTTTTTTTTTATTAAGTAATAATTATATCTTAAACGAATGGTACCATTGAACAGGTTTTAACCACATTTGACTTGCCTGAAGTCGAAGATATGTGGACACTTGTTGGTAAAGCAGACGAGCGTCGGAGAAGAGAAGGTGGCATTCAGGATCACTCGTATCTTATTCTGTCAAGATCTGACTCATCTCTCATTTTACGCACAGAAGAAGAGATCAATGAACTGGAAGAGTCGGGCTTCAACACTACCTCAAGGACTGTTTTTGCTGGCAATGTTGGCAATAACAGATATATTATACAGGTAAGGAAAGCTGTCATTGTCTTTTCAGAGGAGCTCAGATATGACAGTTTAGACGTCCCTCCAGACTTTAAAGGGCAGGCATTGTACTTCCCATTTTCAGGACTCAAATCAAGCTAACTGGTTTCCCTGAATCCCTTCACAAAATATTACCCTGCTTACATTCCAACAGCTCGTCAGATCCCAAAAACTATTTGTCTCCATTCACCCCTATATAACACACTCACGCACGTTTGCTGGAAGTCCAAGCCCCTCGCCCACAAAATGTCCTTTACCCTCTCCCTCCAACCTTTTCAGGGATGACCCCCACCCTGCCTTCCTTCCCCAATAGGTTTATATGCTCTCCAAGTCATTCTATTTTGTTCCATTCTCTCTAAATGATCAAAGCACCTCAACAGCCCCTCTTCAGCCCTCGATTAATGCTTTTAGTAATGCCACACCTCCTGATTTCCACACAACGAATTCTCTGCAAAATATTTACACCACACATTGCCTTTAGACACGACATCTCCACTGCCTCCAGCCGCCTTCTCACTGCAGCATTTACAACCCATGCTTCACACCCATATAAGAGTGTTGGTACCACTATACTCTCATAAATTCCCCTCCCTGCATCCATGGATAATGTTCTTTGTCTCCACAGATACCTCAATGCACCACTCACCTTTTTTTCTTCATCAATTCTATGGTTTACCTCATCCTTCATAAACTCATCTGCTGACAAGTCAACTCCCAAATATCTGAAAACATTCACTTTTTCCATACTCCCTCCCTCCAATGTGATATCCAATTTTTCTTTATCTAAATCGTTTGATACCCTTATCTATGTTCACTTTCAACTTTCTACCTTTACACACCCTCCCAAACTCATCCACACTAGCCTTTGCAACTTTTCTTTAGAATCCCCCAAAAGCACAGTATCATCAGCAAAAAGTAACTGTGTCAACTCTCATTTTGTATTTGATTCCCCATAATTTAATCCCGCCACTATCCCCAACACCCTAGCATTTACTTCTATTACAGCCCCATCTGTAAATATATTAAACAACCATGGTGACATTACACATCCCTGTCTAAGACCTACTTTTACTGGGAAGTAGTCTCTCTCTCTCTTACCCACTTTAATCTGAGTCTCATAAAAACTCTACAGCATTTAGTAACTTACTACCTATTCCATACACTTGCAACATCTGCCACATTGCTCCCTTATACACTCTATCATATGCCTTTTCTAAATCCATAAATGCAATGAAAACTTCCCTACCTTTATCTGAATACTGTTCACATATGTGCGTCAATGTAAACACCTGATCTACACATCCCCACCCATTGTAAAGCCTCCTTGCTCATCTGCAATCCTGCTCTCTGTCTCACCTCTAATTCTTTCAGTAATAACCCTACCATACACTTTACCTGGTATACTCGGTATACTTCTTTCTTTCAACACACTGGCCGTATCCCACCGAGGCGGGGTGGCCCAAAAGGAAAAATGAAAGTTTCTCCTTTTATCTTTTCTTTCTTTCTCTCTTTCAACACACCGGCCGTATCCTACCGAGGCGGGGTGGCCCAAAAGGAAAAACGAAAGTTTCTCCTTTTACATTTAGTAATATACATGTATACAGGAGAAGGGGTTACTAGCCCCTTGCTCCCGGCATTTTAGTCGCCTCTTACGACACTTCCCCATGGAGACTCAATATACTTATTCCCCTATAAGTTTTGCAATTTCTTTTGTCCCCCTTCCTTTTATATAAAGGAACTATACATGCTTTCTGCCAATCCCTATGTACCTTCCCCTCTTTCATACATATATTAACCCTTTGAGGGTTTCGGCCGTACTAGTACGGCTTACGACCCAGGGTTTTTGACGTACTAGTACGCCTAAATTCTAGTGCCCTCAAATCTAGTGGGAGAAAGCTGGTAGGCCTACATATGAAAGAATGGGTCTATGTGGTCAGTGTGCACAGTATAAAAAAAATCCTGCAGCACACAGTGCATAATGAGAAAAAAAAACTGTGACCGTTTTTTTGGAATAAAACAGCCACTTTGCACTGTATTTTCGTATGGTATTTATTGTTGTATTCTAGTTTTCTTGGTCTCATTTTATAGAATGGAAGACATATTACAGAAATTGAGATGATTTTGACTGGTTTTACAATGAAAAGTACCTTGAAATTGAGCTCAAAGTAGCAGAAATGTTCGATTTTTACCAAAGTTCAAAAGTAAACAAATCATGCCAAGGTTCCAATACACGTCAACTGGTGAGTCTAATATTCTTTTGCAAGTGCGCCAATATTATTTATACCATTTTTTATACTAATGCAGTAGTCTGCATAACAGTAAATCTTCTATTTTTTGTGAGAATAAAAATTCAAAGTGGAAAGCAAAAGAATATAAGAGGGGCCTTGAGACGTGACTAATGAACAGAGGAAATGTCATTTTAGTGCCAGGAATGTCTTTCTTGTTTATTCTGGACCCTATTCGGAAATTGGTATCTTTTGAAATTTGTGTGAAATTGGCACAATTGCTAAATTCTGACCACTGTACTGGATAGTTGAAATTGATAAATGGGTGGTTTCTTGCACTCATTCGATAGAAAAAATGGAGTTCTAGCGAAATATTCATTTTTTTTGTCGACTAGTGTAGTGGAATTGGCCAAAAATGGGGCTCAAAGTGGGCAAAATCGCTGATGCGTAAACATCGCCGAGACCGCTAACTTCGCGAGAGCATAATTCTGTAAGTTTTCCATCAAATTTCAAACTTTTGGTGTCATTATGTGGGGAAAAGATTCCCTATCTTTTCATAAGAGAGAATTATTATTTTTTTTTTTTAAATTTGGCTGACCCTGAGAACGAGTCTCGGATAGGGCCTGTCGACCCTCAAAGGGTTAAACAACACTACAGTATATCTCCCTTGAATAATGATGAAAGTTTTTTTCTTTCTTTTTTGGGTTTTTCTTTCTTTTTGGGTCACCCTGCCTCGGTGGGAAATTGCCAACATGTTAAAAAAAAAAAGGAAAGCTATTTTTTTCCTTAAATTTCGATTTAGTGCTATAGGCATTTGATGAGTGTAAAATATTTTTTCAACCATGCTTTAGTCTTTCTTTACTTTTTAGCCCAGATTTGTAGCTGCTTATATTAGCTTTACTGCTTAACTATTCCTAAATGTTTGCAGATATTTTGGAGGAGTCTATGTAGAGTGAACCTTAATGGGCAAAGGGGTATTTGTTAATGCTGATTGTCAATTAAAACTGAATGACGATATTGCTGTTCAGTGATTGAATCAATGGACAATTCTGATTTTTCAGATCTTCTTTCTTTCTTTCAACACACCGGCCGTATCCCACAAAGGCGGGGTGGCCCAAAAGGAAAAACAAAAGTTTCTCCTTTTACATTTAGTAATATGTACAGGAGAAGGGGTTACTAGCCCCTTGCTCCCGGCATTTTAGTCACCTCTTACAACACGCATGGCTTACAGAGGAAGAATTCTGTTCCACTTCCCCATGGAGATAAGAGGAAATAAACAAGAACTAGAAAGAAAATAGAAGAAAACCCAAAGGAGTCTGTATATATATGTTTGTACATGTATGTGTAGTGTGACCTAAGTAGAAGTAGCAAGACATACCTGAAATCTTGCATGTGTATGAGACAGAAAAAAAAGACACCAGCAATCCTACCATCATGTAAAACAATTACAGGCTTCAGTTTTACACTCACTTGGCAGGACGGTAGTACCTCCCTGGGTGGCTGCTGTCTACCAACCTACTACCTAGGATTTTTCAGATGTCTGTTAAATTCAAAATCAATTTATACAGTGGACATTAATAATAATGGACAGTTCTGAATGTAAGATCTCTGTACTCATGCCTCCATATAAACAATCTTTGAGTTACAAGCCTGCTGCCAGTAAAGATGCCCAGGTGTTGCACATGTGTTATATTCATCAATTTGTTCTTATTCATCAACTTGTTGGCATTGTATACTGTACTTTTGAGTTTGTTTGCCAATCAAAGTTTTCTCATTATTTTGTAATAGTATATTGAAGATGGTTTTCTGTTATAGAGTTAGCATGTATTGTATTTTGGTTTTCAAGTATTTTTATTTTTATGAGGTTCTTTGTTGTAAAATTAATCGGTCTTTCATTCTCAGGTGACTAGTGGTGGTGTAAGGCTTTTGGAAGGTACGGTGCAGATCCAACACGTTCCAGTTGATGTTGGTGCTCCTCTTGTTGCTGCAACTTTAGCTGATCCTTACCTGGCAGTCCTCGCTAAAGATGGCACTCTAATGATCTTCACCTTGGTCACAACCCGCTTATTACCACCAAAGCTTACCACTAGCAAGCCAATAAATACTGGAGTATGTCAAGATTTATTTTCATATTCTTTTTACTATAAACCTCAGTGCCTGAATTAATGAAGGGTTAGCATACCATGCTTCCAAAAATGGAAGATGTGATGATATTAACCCTTAACCCTTTCAGGGTCAAAGGCCAAAATCTGAAGTGGTGCTCCAGTGTCCAAAAAATTTTGAAAAAAAAAAAAATTATTTTTTTCTTACAGAATTAAAGAGCATATTTTTGTGAAGGTAATAAGACAAAAAAAAAAAATCTGATCAGTACTTACCGAGATACAGTGCCAAGAAGTTTGTCAAAAATGATGTGGTGGTGGCAACATCGACGAATTCCACATACGCGCATTACATTATTTTGTAGTTTTAGTTGTTTTTTCTTTTCTTTTCCAATTTTTTTCTATTCCTACTAACATTTGGGGCCTGAGAGACCAATACTGTATATAATGTATATATATAAACTCACTGTATTGAACACAATAACTGCACTAAAGTTATTATCATATTATTGTTTACCACTTGTTTATTACAATAAACATGCACAAATATTGTATAATACTAATGTTCTATCATATATTTACATATTTACAATCACTGGACATGGTTTTAGAACTGCTGGAGCTTGTGGAACTCCTTGAAACAAGGCACCATGCACAGAGGCACCTTACATTCCTCACACATAAACCGAGTGTCTTTGCGTCTTTGTTGCCGTCGTTTTGTTTGTGCACAGACAATGCATCTCTTCTGAGCAAATTTCTTCTGAGTTGAAGGAAGCTGTATTATGAAATGATCACCTTCTCTCCTCAAACACTTGGGTATATCCTGAGGAATTCGAGGACCATGTTGTATAGCAGGTGTTGTTACCTGGTACTTCATTATGAGTTGTCTGACAACAGAAAAACAAAATTCACCATACGGTGATCTGTTGCCAGTCTTTATTTGTTACATATTATATGCATTGAGCATTGAAATGTCCATGAGATGGAAGAAAAGTTTCATGTACCACTTGTAACTCTTACGAACACAGTCAACAAAACCAATCTGCATGTCACACTTGTCAACCAAGCGCATGTTTTGTGTATAATCAATCACTGACACTCGTTTTCGAATATGTTCATTAGTCACTCGATCAACTTTGCCACTGTCTTGCATTTCATTATGGTGAATGGTTGTCAACAATGTGACATCTCGTTTGTCATGCCACCGTAATGCCATGATGTCATTGGCAGTAAACACCTGCACGTCATCACCACGAGCACCTGCGTTGAGCCTGGGCATATGTTTACGATTAGAACGCACTGTGCCACACACATCTGTCTTGTTCACTCGCATGAAATCACTGAGTAATGGGCTTGTGTACCAGTTATCGGTATATAATGTATGCCCCTTACCAAGATAAGGTGCCATCATGTTTCTCACTACGTCACCTGAGATACCCAATAACATCTTGGTATCTTTCAATGTTTTACTACCCGTGTATACAACAATATCCAACACCAGGCCACTGTCACAATCACAGAGTACAAACAGTTTTATACCAAAGCGTTTCCTCTTGCTCGGTATATACTGCTTGAATGACAGTCTACCTTTGAACAAAATCAAAGACTCGTCAGTTACAAGATTCTTGAATGGATAAAAGTATATCCTGAACTTTTGTTTGAGATACATGAAAACATTTCTAATCTTGTATAACCTGTCACTTCTGTCAGGCCTGGTTTTGTCAGAGAAGTGCAACATACGTAAGAGTAAGATAAACCTGTTCACTGGTATGATTTCACTGAAGACCGGGGTAGAAATTAGCCGATCTGTGGACCAGTATGCTTTTATATTATGCTTATAGACGTGAGGCATAAGCATTATTGTTGCAAAAAGCAAATACATTTCTGCAACAGTCGTCTCTTTCCACCTGTGTAGTCTTGACTGTGGTGATAAGATCGTATTTGCCATGGTGTACTCAAAATACTTATTACTTTCCCTGACAATAATTTCCATCAATGGCTGGTCAAAGAATAATTCAAAGAATTCCAGTTCATTGGCCGTGGTTCCAAGGGGACAGGTAGGTAGAATTCCACTTTGAGAGTCATCAAAGGGGTGAGGCTTGGGAACAAAATTGGGATTTTGCTGCCAATCCCAAAATACGGTTTGCTGGTGGATACTGGACATCATAGGCTGGTTGTGCGGGTGGTTGTGGTTGTGGTGGGCTGGTGGCTGGCGCTCCGCTTTATCCTTGAACTGACGAGTCAGCATGGGTCCCAGCGTGGCCTGGTGAGTCACGCATGGCGGTGCCACTACCATCACCACTAACACCATCCACTGATGCCTGTGGTCTATCCATGCCAAGTGTAGCCACATCATCCTCACTATCACTACCTAAAACTGGTGTTGGGCCACGGGATGTACTCCGTCCCCTGGGCACAGCATAGGGTACACTACCCGAGCGCATGCGGCGGCGAACATACCGACGCTTCACTGGTGAATATGATTCCTCACTATCACTACTCGATTGATCGTCGAGCGCAATAAAATCACAGTCCACGTCACTATCATCATCATTACTGAAGTCAGAGGCCTGGCCACGCGAAAATATTAGTTTTCTCTTGCGATGAGGAACAACCGACCATGAGTCATGAGTGCCCACACCAGAGGTAGAAGGTTGAGGATCGTCAGGGTTTTCTGCACTATTATCGATATCCTGGTCATTCTTTTCGGTCACTAACTGATCAAAGCCGTAGAATTCGTCTTCATTTCCACTTCCATCAGTGTCAGAACTATCAGATAGGAAGAGGAGAGTCCCAATTTCCCGGGGAGTGAGAGCTGACTTGCGATGAGGCATGGTGAACAAGGGTAACTGAGCCGGCGTTCCCACAATGCTATGCGGGCGCCTAGATTTTTTGTTTATGGCGCGCACCCACCACGCAGACCCGTTCTCTCACATGTAGGCCTATGAGCGTTTTCGTGCTAAATTTGACGGCACTAGAATTTTGGCGTAGATCTACGGTTTGGACACTCAACGTAAAGCCGTTGATCTACGGGACGGACCCTGAAAGGGTTAAATGATCCAAACGTATATATACGTTTTTTCAACATTTGAAAGTATGTAAAAAATTATAGATCTTCTTTCTTGTTTTACATTTGAAAATGTGTAAAAAAAACTTTTATCTACATTTTTTTTTGTTATATTTGAAAATATGTAAAAAAAAACGTAGATCTACTTTTGGAGCACTACGAATTTGAACGTCGATCTGTTTGGACAGTTTAAGGGTTAATGATTATCTGTGTTATAGAGTGTGTGGACCACTTGCAAAAAGACTTAATAAAGAACATTACAAGAGCAATTTTAAGAAGATTAATCATTTTTATGACTTCCTAAAAGTATCTCTGGAATTTCATTTGCTGGAGGTCTGAATATTAATATGAATTAGGTTAGATAACCTGCCATTTTTATTGCTAGAATATTAATATTTACTCTTTATTTTCCAGAAATATCCCATGCAAACTATATGTGCATATTGCGATGTCTCAGGCCTGTTCACAACTCGGTATCCCCAGGACAGAGAAAAGGATCCCAAAATCTTCCGAACAGATGCAGACATTAAGAAGTGAGTTCTCAGAGAATTTGTAATACAGTATTTGGATATAATTTAATGAGTGAAAAACTGTGCAAATTACACAAATTAAACTTATTTAATATCTGATCATATCTATATCTAAGAGTTAATCTGATTGAAAAATCATGGTAAAGTTTTATGTTAATGCATTGCATAAGGTCATCTTGAATGAAAAGGTACAATAATGTGACAGGGAACAATTCACAAATAACCTGGATATAGGTCATTGGAGTGCAGGAGAGAGAGACGAGTATCTTCACCAGGTGCCAGATCAACCAGGCTGTGATGGATATGTGGGACAGTGGGCCTCCAGCAGCAACAGCCTGGTTGATCAGGCAAGCACTGGACGAGCCTGGCCCATGGCGGGGCTCTGAGAGTAGTTATGACATACGTAATTTAATATTTTTAATTTTGTAGGGAATTAGATGATGAAGATGAGATGTTGTATGGCAACACAGACATCTCAGTGTTCGATCCTCCAAAGACCTTTGACCCACAGGCTGGCCAGGAAAAGAACCAGAACAATTGGTAAGTTGAGGGTCGATATACACGTCTTGCATTTTTTACTTCAAAATTTCACCAGAGGTGCTCCATATACAAGGAAATGGGGTGAAATTATATTATTTAATATTGGTATTAATTTCAAATAATTAATCTCTCAGGTAATTGGGGAAGCTTTTGTCATTATCATTCTGTATCCTGTTAAACTTTGCATGGTGCTCTTGACAACTTGACCATGGAATATTTCTAATGAACATGATTAGGGACAGGGTTTTGCATTAAAAGAAATTAAATTTTTGTTACAACTTCTGCTTTAAATTTCCTCTCTAATTTTATTTTAATTGTTCCTGAACATAGTGATTAAAAATCTGGGATTAATATGATATAGTGAAATTGTAGTAATTAGATTTTTTTTTTTTTAGCATGTCAGCTGTTTCCCACTGAGGCAGGGTGACCTAAAAAGAAAGAAAAACCCAAAAGGAAAGAAAAAAAAATAAAACTTTCATCATCATTCAACATTTCCCCATATCATACAAAATCACTGTTTTTTGCAGAGGAAATAAATAATGTAGTTTAGATACCCTTTCCCAAAACTGCCTATATCCCAAACCCCCCCTTTTAAAAAGCCTTAAACTGCCCGAAACGTAGAGCAAGTTCACATGCGAAAGCGCCCCAAACCTTGTTTTTCCCCCCAATTGAAAGCGTGAAAAAAAAACCGAGTTTACGTTCGGGCCCCCGCCGGGACGTAGATCTATGTTTGGACATTTTAAAAAGGGTTAAAGGGGAAAAACCCATTGTACTTTCCATTTCCGGGGATTCAAGCCCGGCAAATTTGGGGTTCCCCCCCTGAATCCCTTCACAAAAAATTCCCCTGCCCCAAACTCCAAAGCTTGTCAGGCCCCAGAAACCATTTGCCCAATTTCCCACTCCAATCTAAAACGTTTCATGCCCCCTTTGCCCAAAAAACCCCTTTTGGGAAAAATTATCCAAAACCGCATTACATGGTGTCTCCAAATGAAATTTATTTTCCGTGAGATTTGGTTTAGAATTTATTTTTTTTCTCCACCAGGGGGACTAATATATAAGCGGGCAAAGAAGAATTGGCTTTCAAGATACACCCCCTTTTTTTTTTTTTATCATCCCCAAACCATATCCCATTTTCCCTTTTTTTTTTTTTACATGTAGCAATTTTTTACGGGGAAAAAGTGGTTAATACAGAAATTTTTTTTATTTATTTTTTTTTTTCCTTAAAGTCTTAAATTTTGTATTTAACGGAGCAAAAGGAGAGGTACGTAAAACATATCCCTTGTAAGTAAAAGGAAACGGGGGGCCCTTGTCTCGAATCTCCCAAAACTCCCCGAAACCATTTTGGAGCGAGAGATATGGGAGGAAATGAAAATTTAAAACCCAGGGGAAAAGTAGGGGTCCAGGGGGCCAACAAAAAGTAAAAACACTGAATCAACCTCCATGGTCCCAGATTTTTCCCAAAAAATTTACCAAAGATATTAAAAGCACGGGCCCGGACAAGTGGGGTGGATATGGGGGGGAAAAAGCGGGCCACCAGCAGCAACAGTTTGTTTGACCGGGTAAAAAACCAGAGGGACCGGGGCTCAGGGCCAGGTTTTTTAAAGGAGTGGGAAAAGCTTTTTAAAACTCGTAAAAGGGTTTAAAGGGTATGTGGGGTTTTTTTCCACCAAGGCAGAATAAAACTTAAAAAATAGTAAACCATAAATTCATTCATCAACTGCCTTGCCAAAATTTGTGTGGAAAAACATAATTCAAATGATAACCCAAAGGGGCGGGGATCCCTAAATATCCCCCAAGAAAATTTTCCCTCTGTACATCCCACCTCCAGGACTTGGTCGGCTGGCTATTTTTCCCCGGGAACCCAATAATAGAGATTTTTTTGTTTCATGCTTTTAACCAGCAAAAAAAATTTTTCATTCCCTCAAATCCCTTGCATAACAATGGGGCTTTCTGGGATTTACACCTCATTGTCCTCCACCTTTTGTACATGCTGAAATAAAGTTTTTGATTATGATTATTCGTATTTTCTTCTTCTCAGGTGGAAAAAAATGGCAAAAAGGAAAATTTGTCCAAACATATTGGTGGTTGGGGGTGAGAGAGAATGGCACTTGACACTACACGCTCCCAATTTCAGACTTTTATACAGTGTCAGAAATTTTCTATTTTTTTGGTTTTTATTTTTTTCCCTTTTCTTTTAATTCAGATCCCTTTTTTTTTGGAAATGTTGAAGAATATTTTTTTTATTTTTGGGTTTGAAACCCGAACAAAAATTTGTTAAAAGAATTTTTTAGAAATCCTTTAAATTTTTTTTTTCCCAAAAAACCGGCTGTAAACCCCAAAAAGGGAGGGTGGCCCCAAAAAGGGAAAAGGGGAAAGTTTCTCTTTTTAAATTTAAATTTAAATTTTTAAAAAGGAGAAAAGGGGGTTTTTTAGGGGGCCCTTTCTTCTGGCATTTTAGGGCGCCTCCCTTTCAAACCCTCAAAGGCTTTGGAGGAAGGGAATTTTAGTTCCACTACCCATGGAGAAATAGGGAAAAAAACAAGAAAATAGAAAGGGAAAAAAGAAGAAAACCCCTATTTGGGGGGGTTTTATATAATTTCCCTTTTACATGTAGTGTACTGACCAAGTGAAGTAAAAAGAAGCAAGACGTCCCAAAAACTTTCAAAGTTTTTAAAAGCGGAAAAAAGACACCACAATCCTACCATCATGTTAAAAAAATTACAGGATCCGTTTTTTTTTTCCCCTTTACCCGGCAGGACGGTAGTACCCCCCCTGGGGGGATTACGTCTTTCCAAACCTACTACCTACAAAAATTTCCTTAATGCTTTAAAATAATTTTGAATATTTTAAACTTAGAAAATGGGAGGAAAAAACTTTCCTGCGTCCCTTCAAACGCCCAAAATGGTTTGGTTGTTGAAATATTGGGAAAAGCGCACAAAATTTTTTGAGTAAACGGGGCTATGAAAAATGACATGAAAAACAAAGAAAGAAAAAGGGGGAAAAGGGGGTAGCTAGATTGTTGAGTCTAGAAAGAAAGTGGTTTTTAAGTAGATGCAAAAAAAAAACTTTTTTCAAAAAACCCGGGCCCTATTTTCCCCCAAGGCAGGGGGGGGGGCCCCAAAGAGAAAAATGAATGTTTTTTTTTTTAAATTTAGTAATTGATGCAGGAGAAGGGGTTTCTAGCCCCTTGCTTTCCCAGCAATTTTCTACAACTTACAAATTTTCTACTGAAACTTAAAACGATGAATTTCCCCTTAGTATATTAATTTTCAGTAATTTAAATTTAAATTTTGTTGTTTAAATTAAGTTTGAACTCTTGTGTTTTTAGATTCTTTTACCATGCCAAAAATGGTTTGGAAAATTTTACTTTTTTTCCCATCAACTAATTTTTTCTGCAATTTTTTCCTCTGCAAATTTTTTTTAAAAGTTTTTTTATACTAAATTGAAAAATGTCTCCTGAAAGAGTCTAGCCAAAATTTTTTGGGGGGGGGGGGAGCCCAAAAATTAAAGGGGATTTTTAGTGGTTTTAAAAAAATTTAAAATTTATTTTAGGACTCCCCTCGGGTTTTAAATTTTAATTCATTTTTATCCCAAAAAATTTTGTAAAAAAAATTTAAAAGTATCATTTTAGTTTTAAATTTAGAGTGAAATTTTGGGTTTTTTCAGGGCAGTAAATTAATGAAGAGATTCATGTGTCATTTTTTCCTTTTTTATTAAAAACTTGTATTGTAAAAGAAATTTAAATTTTTTTAATAAATGAATACAATTTTTTGGTCCCAGAGTACAAATGGTTTGCACCAAAAAGGTTTCAGGACCAGAGTCCCCAATTTCGGGCAACAATCCTCCCCATTATCCCCCGAGGTAAATTCATTTGGGTTTTTGCCTTTTTTTTAAAGTTTTTTATATTTCAAAAATGTTTAAAAAGAAGAGGGGCCCCATTATGTGTGAAGCCAGCCCAAAATTTTGGCACAATAGTAATTGAATAAATTCTGGTGAATGTGTTTCCTCTATTGTGGTCCCCCCACCACACTTGTTTCATTTGATCTTTAGAGGTTATATAGGTTAGTCTGCACTGAGTTTTTGATAATGTTTTAGTTTCCACATACCCTACTGGTGTGATTGTGGCATACCATTTTTTTTAGCATGCTGGCCATCTTCCACCAAGGCAGGGTGACCTGAAAAAGAAAGACTTTCACCTTTCATTCACACTAGCACTGTCTTGCCATAGACTTACTTGGGCCAGGGAATTGTAGTAAACCTAGAGCTCCTGTAAGCATGACTCTCCTGGCAACAACAACAATACTCCTTTGTGAAATATTCCTCTGAAAATGATGTAGAATTTTTTGTATTCTTTGAGTTTCAACTTTTTTTTTAAATGAGGGTTAATTCTACACCCATATTTATTTTCAGTTTTGCAGTGACTATAATGACTTTCATAGTATTGAGACTACAGGTACTAAATTAGCACTCAATGTTTTGTAATAATAATCACACACTTCCTAATTTTTTTTTTTTTCAACAAGTCGGCCGTCTCTGGTTTTGCCTGTAAAGCCATAGTCAGCTGTCAGCATGTCCATGCCTTATATTTTCATTTAACAAACTGTTTTCATTTTGCAGATGAATATGATATAGGTAGAAAAAACTTGCTTTGTGTAATGGGGAGGACAAAGTATAAATTACCATTTGGAGAATTTTGACATTACAGTTCTTCTATATACTGTATTCATCAGGTGCTGTTGGTTGGAATGGGTAACAGGAACCTGCGGCCAGTGTTGATGGCTAGAGTTGATGAAGACTTGCTCATGTATGAAGTGTTTCCATTTTATGAAAATTTGACTCCTACACAACTCAAAATAAGGTAATTTGAATATTATGCTCATCTTTACTGAAATATTCCATTTCTAGCTGTTTTATTTTATATTTGGCCAGGTTTCCTTGGGTCAGAGACTGGAATAAGGTATTTCAGTCAGTGGCGTGCAGAGATCTGGTGATGCCCAGGGCCAATTCCTTGATTATATGCCCCAAAGACTCAAGTATAAGGCCCAGTACTGAGAAATATTATGAGAATGGGAGATATTTTGAATATGTAAACACTCTTCAGGTCGTTAGGTAAGACACATATGCAACAGTTAGGTATCTTTATTTGAAACGTTTCGCCTACACAGTAGGCTTCTTCAGTCGAGTACAGAAAAGTTGATAGAAGCAGAAGATACTTGAAGACGATGTAATCAGTCCATCACCCTTAAAGTTTTGAGGTGGTCAGTCCCTCAGTCTGGAGAAGAGCATTGTTCCGTTGTCTGAAACAATATGAAGTTGAAGTGACAGAATCGGGCCTTATATAGTGCCAGGGGTGAGGACGTAGGTTGATTTGGGAGGGCAGGTCCTTCTCAAACCCAGCCGTTCTCACTAGTAGAGGTTGTCAATTTAGATGGTCTGTCCCCGATCCCTTGTGTTGCGTGTCGGGACAGAATGAAAAATTAAAATGGTATAAAATACCGACAGATTTTAGGTAAGAACATATGCAACAGTTAGGTATCTTTTTTGAAACGTTTCGCCTACACAGTAGGCTTTTTTCCAGTCGAGTACAGAAAAGTTGATAAAAAGCAGAAGAAAATTTGAAGACGATGTAACCAGCCCCATAAACCCTTTAAAAATTTTGAGGTGGTCATCCCTCAGTCTGGAGAAAAAGCATTTCCTTTGTCGAAACAATATGAAGTTGAAGTGACAAAATCGGGGCCTTAAAATAGTCCCCGGGAGGTGAGGTGGGTTGATTTGGGAGGGCGGCCCTTCTAAAAACCCCAGCCGTTCTCACAAAGTGGGGTTGTCGAAGTAGAGGGTTTCTTTCCCAAAATCCCCTTGTTTTTGCATGTCTACAGAATAAAATTTAAAATGGTTTATAAATACCGAAAGATTGTTAGGTAAGACACATATGCAAAATTTTAGGTATCTTTATTTGAAACGTTTCCCCTACACAGAAAGGCTTCTTCAGTCGAGTACAGAAAAGTTTTTAGAACGAAGAAATTTAAAGACGATGTAATCAGTCCATCCCCCTTTTAAAGTTTTGGGGTTTTTTTCAGTCCCTCGTCTGGAGAAGAGAAATTTTTTCCGTTGTCTGAAACAATATGAATTTGAAGGGGACAAAAATCGGGCCTTATATAGTGCCAGGGGGTGAGACTTTTTTAGGGGGAAATTTTTGGGAGGGCAAGGTTCCTTCCAAAAACCCTTTTTTGAAGGTTTGCGAAGTTAAAGGGTTTAAAAATACCCGTTGTTGGGGGTTTTAAAAACAGAAATTAACTTTTTTAAAAGGGTAAAAATACCCAGTTGGTTTGGGTTTATAAAACAAAATCAAACTTTAAAATATTTTTTATTAAATTTTTTCGCCCTCAAGAAGGCTTTTCCCGGCCGAAACAAAAAGTTGAAGGCAGAAGGGATATTGAAGGGGGAACGATTTTTTTTTCGGGTCCCCCCAAACCCCTTTAACGAAATTGGGAAGGTTTGTCCGTTCCCTTTTTCATTCGGGAAGAAAAAACTTTTGGTTTTCCGTTGTTGGTAAACAATATGAAGTTAAGGGACAAAAAGGGGCCCCTTTAAATTATTCCGGGGTGAGCCCGGGGTTTTTTGGGGAAGGCGGGTTTTTTTAAACCCCATGTTCTCCCCCCCCCAAAAATTTTGGGGTTTTCGCAAGGGGGGAAACCAAGCCCCTTTCCCCAAAAAAGACTTAAAGGGACGGAACCCCCTTTAAAATTAAGGGGTGGACGAGTTTAATTTTGGGGGGATTCCTTCAAAACCAAACCTTTTCCTGTATTGCGAAGAAGGGCCAAAACCCTGTTTTGGGCAAACAAAATTCAAAATTTAAAAATACCAACGGATTTTTGGTTAAACCTAAAAACTTTTGGTATTTTTTTAAACCCCTTTAATGGTTCTTCCCTGGTCAAAAATTGAAAAAAAAAAGGATCTTGGGTTTAACAGCCAAACCCCAAAAATTTTGAAAACCCTCATTTGGAGAAGGCTTGGGTTTTAAAAGGAAGCCCGGGGGCCCTTTTTCCCAAAAACCCTAGGTTATTTGGGGGGCACCTTTAAACCCCGTTTTTAAAATTAAACCCTTCAATTGTTTCAGACAACGAAACAATGCTTTTTCTCCAGACTGAGGGACTGACCACCTAAAAACCCTTTAAGGGTGTTGGCTGATTACATCGTCTTCAAGTATCTTCTCTTCTACAATTTTCTGTACTAAATGAAGAACCCCTACTGTGTAGGCGAAACGTTTCAAATAAAGATACCCTAACTTTTGCATTTGGTTTTACCTAAAAAAATTCTGTGGGTATTTTATACCTTTTTAAAAATTTTTCATTCTGTCAGACATGAAAAACCCAAAAGGGGTTATTTTTGGTACGGGACCATCTACTTCGAAAACCCTCTCTATGAGAACCGGGGGTTTTGAGGGGGGACCTCCCCTTTTTTCCCCAAATCAACCTACGTCTAAACCTCCTGGCACTATATGGCCCGATTCTGTAAAACCTTTTTTTAAACCCGGGCAATTTTTTCCCCAGACAAGGAAACCCAACCTCCCAAAATTTTGGGAGGGCCCGCCCACCTTTTCAAAATTTTTTTAATTTTTTGAGGGAAAAACCTAATTTACAAACTTTTCTTAAAGTACCAAAACGGCTTTTTTTATCAACTTTTTTTTAAAAAGACTGAAGAAAGCCCCTTATTTTGGGGAAAGGGCCAAACTTTCAAAATTAAAAAACCCTCGGGGTTTGGAAAGGCCCCCCTCCCTAACAAGTTTTCCCCCGGATTTTAACCCATTTTAATTTCATTTTTTTTCAGAAAACGGAACACCCAAGGGGTAACCCCCCTTTGGGTAGGAAAACCCATCTCTTCGACCCCTTTTCTAAAATTTTGGCCCGGCTGGGTTTTAGGGAAAACCGCCCCCAAAAAATCAAACCTAGTTCACCTCCTGGGTTTTTAAAATTTAAGGCCCATTCGGGTAAACCTTAAACCCTTAAAAGGGGGTTTTCAGGAAAAAGGCCCAAATCTCTTCCCCTTTACTGGAGGGTCGGGGAAAACCCCCCCAAAAATTTTTGGGGGTATTGGCCCAAATTAAAACCACTCCCGTTTCTTCCTTCAATTCCTTTGTTTCGCCCCGGAAAAAACCCTTTTCTGTGGGGGCCGAAATTTTAAAAATTTAAAGGGTATAACTGTTCATTTTCTTCCAAAATCTTCGGTTTTTTTCCAATTTTTTTTCACGGGGGGTTCTGTGGGGAAAAACTTTTGGTTTTTCAAAGGGTTCAAGGTGACCAACAAGGGATTTTTCCATTTTTGTTTTCACCTTAAGGATTTGCACGGCGGAAATTTCACACAACGCCCCAAGGGGGGGAAAAATTTTGTTTGACCTAGAAAATTTTTAAAAGGGGAACCCTTCAGGGCGCGCATAAGGGAGTTTTAAACCCCTAAATTTACTGGGAGCCTTGGGGTTTTCCCTTTTAAAACCTGTATTCCCTAAAACACAGGCAGGAAAATACATATTAAAATACACCTGGAAAACCCTAGAGGGACTAGTCCCGAACTTGCACACGAAAATCATCACATGAAAGCAAAAGACTTGGCAACGATGCAACACCCCCCCCAAATAAAAAGCGGGGGTTTGTCAAAAAGCACATTAAGAGACCATAAAAATAAGTGTCGGGGGCCCGAAAACGTTAATTTGCCCCCAATACAAAAGGGGGGATTCCCAACGACCCCGGCAGCTTCAAGCGGGCACTGGAAAAGCACCAAATTTTTGGGTTTTCCGGGACCACCGGGCTGGGGGCCGAACGTTGGTTTGCATGCAGCCAGCCAGCAACACCTGGTTATCGGGCCCTCTGATCCCCAGGGGGCCCTTGGTCACAAAAGGGGCCGGGGGGGGGCGTTGCCCCCCGGGAAACTCTCTCCGGGTAAACTCCAGGAAAACAGATAAAAAATGAAATAAACACTTTATTCTTTTGAAATAAAATCAACCAAATTTATTTTAGCCTTTTTTTCCCCAAATGATACCTCCTTCAAAAAACACTTAAAACTACTTCATTTTTTAACATCGGGCTGTGGGGAAATTTCCCTTTTTCAGGTTGGTCAGCCCGCCCCTGTGACATTCAAGACTTCAGATATTTTTTTTTAAATTTTTCATTTTTTGAAAATGCCCTTTCACAACTTGCACGAAAATGAAATTGTAACATAATCTGTATAAAAACCCACAGCATGGAAAGCACCCCTCCCATACTGCAGTAAAAACTCCAGGGGCACCTTTGGGATTGGGGGGAAATTTCTATTCCCTCCGTTTTAAGGACTGGGGGAAATAAAATTTGGTGCCCATCATCATCATAATAGAAAATTTGCAAAATTTTAACATTCGTTTTTTAATTTTTCTCTTTTTCATTTTTAAATTGGGAGGACCATTTTCTTTGGACAAAAGGGTAACCATGTTAAAGGAAAAAAAGGGCAAAATACCACCTCGGGTTTTTTGGAAATAAAACCTAAAAAAATTTATTTATCCTACTAAAATTTTTAAAAATTACTATCATTTTTTCCCTCTCAAATTTGGACCCCCCCCCCTTTTGGGATCCCCGGGGCCAGCCCCCCCTCTGCACACCATTATTTCGTTAATTTTGCATAGGGGTTTTAAAACCCTGACTGGGCGGGGCCCACTAAAATTTTAATTGGGCCCTTTTAGCGGGCTAATAAATATTTTGGCCTGCCCATTTAAAGGGTTGAACCCCACTAGGGCAAGCCCTGAGACTTATTATTGTTTATTTTAACTACCCCGGGAAAAAGGGGACGGGGTAAGGTATTTTTTTCAATTGAGGGGATTTTTGTGAATAAAATAGGGTTGACAACAATTTGGCAGGGGTTACAATTTAATAAAAATTAAGCCTAAACAGAATTGGAAACTGATTTTTTCCCTTAAAAGGAGGGTTTAAAATATGACCCGGTCATATATTAAAAATTTACAAAAAAAACGGTAAAACCCGTAGGATTACAAAGGGAGGCTTATTTGAAAACTTTTCTGCCACCCTGGATACCTTTAAGGGGGCCCAGTAAATGGGCCTAACA